TATAATAATAAAATAATAAGTTTTTTTAGTTTCAATAATAATATGTTTAAAAAAACTTGGGACTTTTTCAGGACTTTAAGTCCCAGGACTGTTTAGGACTGATTAACATCTCTTAAATTCTAATTGCAATGCCCGCGTGTAACATTACACACCAATCAAATTTTTAATTTTTGGAGATAGTTTCTAAATTTGTACTAGTCACACAACAAGGAATTCGTTTTTTTATTGTATAAAGGCTAGAAATCTAAAATTTTATATTCAAGTACATGAATACCTATATCAAAATGATCTAAATTTTTTGTTAATTATTATGTAAATTTAGGGTGACCGAAACTTTGGTAGGTAGTGTATATTATTATTCCGTTTGTGTTCTTATTAAATAGTTATATCAATGAATAATAGAAAAATACTCATTTCACATTAGATACACATATAATAATATACAAATTTCAGCATTAAAATAGATTCTTAATATATACCTTTAGTTTATATATATAATTAACAATAATAATCCAATTGTTAATAATTTCATTCATAAAACTGACACTTCCATGACCAAATCTTGCAACTTTTTTCCATAACGGGTCAAAAACATCTGCGTGTATTACGTTAAGTGAGATCAACTTTCCTATCCTTAAGAAATAATTAAATTAAAATTTTAACCAGAGCTGGCTTGGTTGGTATATCGAAAAATAAACATTTGATACATGTATTTATAAATAACTTTGAACATAAAATAGAAAAGGCTGTGTTATTAGTACAATAATTGTTGGACCTACTTGGAATCTGGTATATGTATTCTTATATAATAGAATTAAAATTAGGATTATTAGTGACCAGAACTGGGTATATTATATATATACATTAAAATTAATTTCAATTTTAATACAATGGATTCAATAACGCGTGAATTTAAATATCAATGGAATCTTTATTTAGACGGTTGTGTTACATCACCATTATATGTAATCATGATATCAAGCCACTCCAAACGAATACTTTTATTGTAAGACGCGCATTGTAGATTTTTTTTTTTTGATATACAGTTAGACTCCTATATAGTCACACACCTCGGGATCATAGTGAAATTTCAAGAATTTTGGTGACTATACAGAACTATGATTAATTAGTAGCAGGGAATTTTTCAAACTAACAAAAAAACGTGACTATACTATGTTGTGACTATATAGGATGTGACTATATCTGTATTGCATATTATACAATTTTAAATTAATAAAACGTCACGACAAAATTACGTCGTTAAATAAAAAAAATATCAACATCACCACTAACTATTTTTTAACAACTATGTTTCAAAATTGAATATCAATGAAAATTTTTATTTTGAACATTGTTACTATGTTTTTATATATAGTGGTCAAATAAATGTGTAAATTGAATATCGGTGAAATCTAGACAGTTGTTGTTATAATATAATATTAATATATTTTTTTTATGTAATAGTAAGTCAACCAACGTGTAAATTGAATATCAGTGAAATCTAGACAGTTATGTTATAATTTTTTTGTTATAATTTTTTTCTTTGTAATAATTAGCATGTTAATAAATGTGTGAACCGAAATCGTCAACAGTTAATAAATGTGTAAATTGAATCTTTATTTAGAGTTGTTGTTTTTTATGTGTCTATTTTTTTAACAATTCTTTAGGTAAATCCGATTGTTCTTTTGTTTACAGTTGACAATTTATTAAAGAGTTGATAAAAAAAATTTTTTTGGAATCATATAAATATCAGTGTCTTTTTTCTTCATACTATTACTACTACACAATAACAATGATGACAATGATGACAATCGTGTGAATAATCTAGATTTTTTTGATATATTGATACACTAGCTGGACAAAAGTATTTGATCACGTGTTTACACTAATTAATAAAAAACCTACATAACGAAATTTATAACATTATGCACCTAGGTTTTGATAATTATATATTCGAAATTTCACGTTGCTAGCTTTCATGTATCAAGTTCAATAAAAAAATTTCAAATTTTTTTATTTTTAATCACTAATTTTCTAGACATGATAGAAACACGAAATTTCATATATTTATTTTTCAAAACAATATTCCTCATTTATATAAAATTTACAATTTTTTATTATGTGAATTTTTAAAAAACATGAAAATATAGCAAAATGTTTAAATTTTTTATTTGAATTTTAGTTTTTTTTTTTATTAATCTTGATACTTGGAAGCTGGCAACGTGATATATAATTATAAATTTTGTGTTGTTATGAATGTTTTTTACTAATTAGTGTAAACACGTGATCAAATACTTTTGTCCAGCTATATATTGATATTCAATTCACATGATTGATAAAAAAAAAATGATATCATTTGTTATTCTTTTTTTTTATCAATCAACACGTGAATTGAATATCAATGACAAATCATTTATTTATAATAAATCTTACATAAATACCAGTATCCTTTTCTTCATATATACACTAAATAATAATAATAATAATATTCCCTTTCATACACGCAAATTACAACAAAACTAACAACAACAATAAAATGTCTGGAAGGTAATCAATCAATTAACAAATATTGCGAGTGAACACTTACAAAAATCCAAAATAATATTATATTTTATTGATTAGAATTTTTTCTTGTTACAGAAGAGCTGGACGTGAGTAAGTGTCCATCATAAAAATGATGGTTATTGCCACTCGTTGTCGTTCTAGTTTATTTAAAAGAATGATGACGGTGGTTGCGATTGTTACCACTTGTCGAATGAAAATGTAAGTAAATCATACTCTTTTGATAAATTGTTCTTTAATTATTTTCTTAAATAAATTTAAAAAAAATTTTTTTTTTGATAGAATGACATCATATCATCGTTTGCAAGGGATATTATAGTAAGAATCACTAAAATCCTCATTGAAAAATTTACAAAAATTTTCATTAGATATGAGGAAATTGACGATGAACTTGACGAATCAAATATTGGTAATGAAATTAATAACTTTAATTTCAATAATGCCAACGATATTGGTAATGCACCAGAAGAAATACCAGAATTTGATTCACAAAGGATCGATAATGATAAACCTTACACCACACACACTTATCTTTATAAACCAATCACTACTACCAGAAATAGGAGAAATATTAGATTGGTATTATATTTTTTGGTTAGTTTATCAATTGATTGATTGTAATTTTTAATATTATGTTGTGGAGGGAGTAAGTATTTAACAATCTTTGATTTTATTTATTTTACCTTTTGTCAACCTATGCATTAATTTTTTAAAAATCTTACAGAATAATTACAACCTTAGAAAGAGGCAGGTTGGAAAATCTGCGGTCTATTGATGGCCTATTAGGTCCATTAACGTAATACTTTAACCATATTTAGTATTTTATTAATGGAAATGGACCAGTCCAAAGTCCATCAGTTCTCAATGGACCACTCAGTTTGCTAATCCTGGAAAGAGAAAGCAAATCGACTACAATACCGCCACATCATATAGGAAGCATGTAAGTATAAAATGAAATATTAATATTAGACATAATGTTTTATTTAAAAATTTTTTTTTACTTGTATTTATAGAGATCACCAAGACCAAGACTATCACCAAGACTATTTGAGGTATATATATGATACAAATATAATTATATTTTAAAGATAAAATATTAAATTTTTTTTATTTCTTTATATATAGAGAGAATGCACAAATTTGTGCCCGTTACATTGTTATCGGTTGATTGGAATAAAAATTTGTACTTTTTTTAATTTAGATTTTTTATCAAATTGAAATATAGAATTTTAAAAAACATCTTGTAATAATATTAATAAAATATAATAATTATTAATTTTTTATTTTTAAATGGTCGTTGTGAATATGTAGAATTTGATTTATGTTGTCCAGGTGGCTTATTTAATTAACTAACTGCATTTTGTTTAGGTGAAGACGCTACTTTGATCTAGAGCCCTTCAATGGGCCGGTTTCCTTCCATGTTTGTAGTCATTAGATTTTCGTCGTTCCTTCGAACTATTAGGTTCACCGTTGGCCCTAATTTCATCAATTAGAAATTAAGTATTCATGTATATTGAATATTTTGTGCTAATTGAAATTTCATTTACCACACGAACTTAAGATGATTCATGCTAAATACTTCCTCAACATCAAATGATAATATTTGTGGACAAAAGTATCCTCGTCCATAACATTTTTAGTGCTGTCTGATGGTAAGTTTAAGAAACTATATCATTAATATAATAATACAAATACAACAAAAGTAATATGAATTCTTTGGATTTAAAACCTTGTTACGAGTTGAACGAAGTCAAACATGCTCCTTTCTTCTTTGGTCATCGAAGGATCAATTTTGATGCCATTTTACATCCAACCTCTCTTTATTATTTAAAAGCTAAATAACAGATAGAAATAAATTATTGATTATTTATTATTTATCATAATGTCCCATGAGGGTCTTACCGTACTATATTCCATGATATTCAGTTGAGCACTTATTGGCAAATATGTTGGAGTTAGAGACTTGATTGGAACATTTTACATACTTTGGTTTATCCTCTTTTACATAAATGATTGATGAAGACACTTGCAATAATGTACAAAAGTTAAAACATTGAAGAAGTCGATCAACTTTGCATGACAAGATCATACGAAAATCACGAAAATCCTTAGAAATACTATAGCCGTTCGCCAACCACTATAGGTAAAAATAATGGTTAACGAACATTTACTATACATGATGAAGTTATAATATTTCAATACTTATATCGTGATCTGAATTAATAGAAATTTTTATCTTATCAACAACGTGTTCCCACAAAAGTATCGTCTTTGACTGCCTAAACATTAATCAATTAACTTTCACGAACTTGCCTCAATTAGAAATTAAGTATTCATGTATATTGAATATTTTGTGCTAATTGAAATTTCATTTACCACACGAACTTAAGATGATTCATGCTAAATACTTCCTCAACATCAAATGATAATATTTGTGGACAAAAGTATCCTCGTCCATAACATTTTTAGTGCTGTCTGATGGTAAGTTTAAGAAACTATATCATTAATATAATAATACAAATACAACAAAAGTAATATGAATTCTTTGGATTTAAAACCTTGTTACGAGTTGAACGAAGTCAAACATGCTCCTTTCTTCTTTGGTCATCGAAGGATCAATTTTGATGCCATTTTACATCCAACCTCTCTTTATTATTTAAAAGCTAAATAACAGATAGAAATAAATTATTGATTATTTATTATTTATCATAATGTCCCATGAGGGTCTTACCGTACTATATTCCATGATATTCAGTTGAGCACTTATTGGCAAATATGTTGGAGTTAGAGACTTGATTGGAACATTTTACATACTTTGGTTTATCCTCTTTTACATAAATGATTGATGAAGACACTTGCAATAATGTACAAAAGTTAAAACATTGAAGAAGTCGATCAACTTTGCATGACAAGATCATACGAAAATCACGAAAATCCTTAGAAATACTATAGCCGTTCGCCAACCACTATAGGTAAAAATAATGGTTAACGAACATTTACTATACATGATGAAGTTATAATATTTCAATACTTATATCGTGATCTGAATTAATAGAAATTTTTATCTTATCAACAACGTGTTCCCACAAAAGTATCGTCTTTGACTGCCTAAACATTAATCAATTAACTTTCACGAACTTGCCTAGTTGTAATCGATTATTTGAAAACTATCTACATTTTCCACTTTTTCTGTAGTAGTTTCTTCGACGGGTGATTCAGATTCTTTGCTGGTTGCTTTCCCAGCATCAATGATCAGATTTCTGAATCTATTTCCGCATCACTCTTCATACTTCTGTTTATATCATGTATACTATCTTGTGATTCGCCACTACCAGTTTCAGACGTGGATGGGCTCTGGATCGTTTTAATCTGTGTAATATAAAAAGGTGAGAAAACATCTTTATGGGCTAATAACATTTATGCTTTCATACCGACTTTTTTGATGCCTTTGGAAACAAGTTGGTCTTTTGCACGTTTTCTCGGATTAGTCTACAAAATAATAATTGGATAAGCCAATGGTTGCGAAAAAAAAGTCATAAGGAATTCAGATAGCGTGCAGATGAAACTGTATACTTATATTATCCTTTCCCATTCATGTTGGACATGATGTTTACGTTGAAATAGTAGATGGAAATAAAGAAAGCTCTCATCTCCCTGTTATATTTGTGAAACTGGACACCTACTACCTGTGGTAAACAGTGTATGCAACAAAAGGAAAAATATTATTATCATGTTAAGAATTATATATTAATTAGCTTTTATTTTTTTGTTCCAAAGAAAAAAAGATTTGAGTTAAATGATTATCTGATGGCGAGCTATATTGTCACGCGACAGAATAGAATATCATTATTGTCATATTAAGAATTATTAACATTAGTTAATTTTTATAAGGATTAGGATTAAACAATTGATCCGATGGTGAACAATCTTGTTACGCGACAAAACAGAAAACATTATATTATGTTGTTTTATTATCATCATATTAAGAATTATGAATTTGTTGCGCAACCAAGAAAAAAAACAATTATATATTAGAATATTATTATTTTTATAATTTTTTAAAATAAAATGTCTTTATTTCAAAATAGCTAAATACACAATAAATGCAAACTATATGATGGTAAAGAAAATTTGGAATTGAGTCAGTCTAAAAGGTTGATACTTGTAATGATAAAAATTTTTCTTTGAGTTGCAATAAATTATTTGCAACCAATTAAAAGAGTAAAAGCTTGCTAGAAATAGTGTAACAATAAATTCAACCAAAAATGGCAGCTAAAAATATGCACAAAGAACTTTTAGAACGCGTAGAACAAGGTGAGCTCGAAGAAGGGTTTCTACCATTGCTAATTGAATAACTAGAACTTATACAGGCTGGGAAAAAAGGGATTGGATTTACTATTTTAAAAATACTTTTATCCGATAAAATATTTACGATAAATGAAATATACTATTTTTTGACCTTTGAATCCGACGTACACATGCAGAAAAGTTTTCATAGAGAAAGGATAAAGCACATGATATCATGTGGTTGTATCGCAAAGTTAATGGCCATTTCTTTTATTAAATAGTATTTTTACTGCCATTAACAAAAGGATCGTCAATTAACATGGTTTTAAACCGACTCAACCATTTAACATCCCTAGATCCCATTCAAGCAGAGATGCCAGAGACTGTTTTGACAAAGGAAATTGTTGCAAAAAACGAATGTCATTATTATTTGTTGAAAGGAAATTTTTATCAATCATAAAAAAAACTTGAGACTCGTTTGTAGAGAGCTTGGATCCAGATATGAATATGGATATCCCGATACTTATCTGTTTAAATTATAGCAATACAGATTTCCTATCTGTTTAAATTATATATAGTAGAAAAGTATTCAATACATCAATACGTGTTAAAAAAAAGAATTAACACAAATTGGATTCTATAAATCTAATTAATAACAATTTAACTAATGACCATTTTGGTGCTGCTAATTAGACCTAAAGCTATTGAACACCAATTGGCATGATACACAATCAGACATCATTCCACTCGTGTTAATTACACAAACATGTATTTATATCGGTTTGTAGCTTGGGTTTTGACAAATAGATGTATTGAAACCATACTTCTAGTACAATCTAGATGTTTAAATAAATTTTTTAGTCAGAATTTGATTTTTTTATTTGCTTGAGCTCTAAATTCGCCAAGGCCAAAGAGCTAGAGATTGATATTAATGTTTTATTAATTTTAATGTTTCTGAAAATTCATATTTTGTTAAGTTAAAAAGTAAATATGTACAAACAATTTTAATAACATGAACGCTTTCGAACTAGTACTCCATACTTCTTATTCGCCTACTACTTTACAAGTCTTTATAAAATATCCAACTGATTAATGTCATGTAATCACTATTCACATTAACTTTTCATACCACCAATTCCCCAAATAATTAACCAATGCGTTGTTTGTATTTTATTTAATACCTAACACTTGACCTGAAGATAAAATTTAATTTGGGAGAATTTTATATGACTGATTAAATTTTCACATAGTTAATTAATACATATCATCCATTGGTGCAATTTAATATAATAAGTTTGTTTTAACCATTGTTATACCTCTCTCTCTTTCTAATGATACTTTCTCGGCCATTTCATTTAAAACCAATATGTATTCTGTCGATCAATGCTCCATTTTTTAATAAAACAAAGGAATGGAAATAGTGTATTATATAACTTTATTTCACAATAATGGTAAAAGTTAATTGGGGTCAAACAAATAATAATTTTTAATTAATAAACAACCAATTTAATTTAAAAATAAAAATTTAAAATATGTGTTTGACATACAACACATTTACTTACTTTGTTAGTCTAATGTTGTTCAAGTACAATTTTCCACACCGGGTGCATATGCATAATTCGGAGGTAATGTTGCTTGAATTTTTAGTATATTCTCTGCATGAAATAAAAAAAATAAATTTTATTGATTAATCTTGCTTGATATTTAAATGATCTTTCTAACATCATTACAAGCAGTGCTTTTTTCTCTTGCTCTAGCTAGTTCTTTTAATGATACTTACTCGAATCTTGCTATTTTTTGGAGTGACATAATTAATCGACTGTATATAATGTAGAAATATCCATCATCGCCCACTCCACGTTTTGATTTCAAATAAAACAATTTTTAATTATTTTAAAAATTTATTTCCATAAGATCCTTTGTCATAAATGTTAAATGATCTTTTCTAACTAACCAACATCTTAATGATACTTACTCAGATCTTGCTAATTTTGAACTAATATTCTTTATTATTTTTGCTCTTTTGGAGTTGTTGCGCGAGATAATTTTTTTGTGCAAACAAGCCAATATTCTTCTTTTTCTTTATAAATAGCCTAAATATCGTCGTATATTATAAATGTAATTACAACTTCCCAAAATCCAGCACGTGCTGGAGATTTGAAATCAAAATGTGCTATATTATATAGGTAATTATTATGCTCGCTCACATTCATAAGATTCTTTTTCATAAATGATTGGTATAATAATAAATAATAAATAAATAATAATTATAAAGGCAAAACAACAACAAGTCATGACGAAACCAAGAGCAGATTTCCCATCTCAATATTTGTTTACGTGTATTTCCTTGCCGTGCTTCCTTTGGAGAATAAAGGAGCAGAGGAAGTTATTTATTCCCATTTTCCTCCTAATGCGCACAAAGGCTAATCTGACCTATCGACCCCGACGAAACAATAATCTAAATCCCAGGGGGGATGTGGTTCTGGGATTTATTGGCTGCATCATTGTCCAAATATGTGGGACCTCCACCTGTGTAAAAAGTTACATAGTCCGAGTCAAGCATCTTATCTTGATCCTTCACCTGTGTAAAAAGCCCCCACAGTCTGAGAACAATATCGTGGACCTTCACCCGTGTAAAAAAAGTTGCACAGTTCGAGGAGATTAAGGTGTCTTATCTTGGTTATGGGGCGGGTTAAAATCCAACCGTACGTTTATAGTAGAGGAATATTTTATAAATCTGACACCCGTGATTTACATTAGATTTATTCTATAGTTTCTAAGGAACTATACGCAATTATAAAATATTGGAGACAAAGGTATTAT